GGGTATCTCTCTCTGTACTCTCTTCTCATTGATAGATAGGTACACACACACAAATGTTTGGTTCTCTGTTGATTATATCTGCTTGTTTCCCTTTCCCTTTCCAAATCCCTCCCCAAATCCTCCAACCAAACACAACATTAGGGTCCTGCAAGATGTCTCACCCTTTAGAGTTGGATTGCCTTATTTTTGTTGGTGTGATTTGATAACACAAAGCATCTAACCCTACACAGCTCCCCATTAATGGTCATAGGGAAGATCTTATTGTGACCTCGAAATCTCTCAAGATTGAAAACATGTTTGCCAATGAGCAACATATGGACTGGACATTGATATTTGGATGTTGTCTTGGACTTAATTTCATCCATGACATATTACACAATTTAGTTGATTAATGGTAAGAATTAAATAAATGATAATTTTTTCTCTCCACAACATTAAAATGAAGGAGTAAAGTCTACTTTATCTACTTGACCTCGGACAACTGTTCAAAAAGATAAAAATGAAGGTACTTAGGTGTCAAAGTGAATGAGATTTCAAATTCGAATTCATAAATGGTCTGCATTGTAATTTAACTACTAATATACTAACCGTGAATGAGATTTCAAATTCGAATTCATAAATGGTTTGCATTGTAATTTAACTACTAATATACTAACCGCAATCTTGTGGGGGAGGGGAAAAAAAAAAATTATTTTTTCCATTTGTGAAATGACTAGACAAATGGCTCCAATATAATTTTAAACTAAAGTGTTTTTGTTATAGTTTTTATCTAACAATACAAAAATTATGTCACATGAGTGTTTGAGAATAATTTTTTTTTGTTCTCAGTCAATGTAAATGACAGGTTTGGTTTGATGGAAGTAAGCTTGGAATTGAGCCATACTCTGTGGAGGTGTTGAAAAACTCCAGCGGGCAGCGAAGGCAAGGTTGCCGGCCGGCTGCCCGCCGGAAAGAAAAGAGTATAGGCCTAAATCTTATAGCTCTGATACCATGTAAAAATATATGTATTATTGATTGATATTTGATGATTGATATATATTATTACAAATCAGAGTAGCTCATTATATAGGAGAGGGTTTGGGTAGTAGGTGAGGAGTAGGTGAGGGTAAATTGGTGGTAGGTGTAGTAGGTGTGGTAGTAGGTGGTGGTAGGTGTAGGTAAATTCTAACATGCTTGATGACAGCTGCACAATTTTTTCCCTAGTCACTCTATCAATTGTTTTGGCTTCTGCAATGTCATAAGCTGTCCCAAAGAGCATGCCACTATTGTGTTATTCCAGTTTCAAGCTGACTTTATAAACCAACTTTTGATTAAACTTTTGCATTATGGTTAGAGAGAAATGACATTTTTAACTTGTAACATTATTCGAGATAATCCAAACACAAGCCTTTTAACATGTGACAATATTCAAAATAATCTACCCATAATGATCTACTCTTACCCTTTACACATGCTTGGATAATAAATCTGTTGCCAAAGTTTGGTCCACCATAATAACTTTTTAGGCATTTGATTTACAAGTGGACAACTTTGAAGGAGAGGATTCACTTTCTTAACAAATTTAGACAAGAAGTTGTGGATAACAAGTGTAATATCTGTTATGGACCATTATGGTCTGTAATGATTTGTACCCTAAATCAAACTTCACTTGCACTCATAACTGATTGGTCTACATTTGACTCCCATTCTATGTGATAGTCAAACACTTGGTATGTATTGCCTTGGTGAAATAATTAACTAGATTTTCCACATACGCAATGTGTTAGTGTCGTGACTCAAGATGATGTCTCCAAGCTTGTCAATCTCTTTGATGAGGCGATGCTCTGTTAAAATTTACCATCACCTACCACCAATTTACCATCACCTACCACCACCTACTCCTCACCTACTCCTCACCTACTACACTCACCCTCTCCTATATAATGAGCCACTCACCATTTGTAATATACACAATATCAATTTCATCAATCAATAATAAGATCATCAGATACATTTATTCTCTCTGTATTGTTCTCTTTATACATTGATTTTTTACATGGTATCAGAGTAAGGTTAAGAACCTATTCATTCTGCTTCATCGGCGGGCGGCAGCCTCGCCTTGGCCGCCCGCCGGACCTCTACACATACCCAGACTGTAACTTCTTCTTCACCCTCGCCGTCGGCGTCGAGGTCCGATCACTCTCCCTCGACTCCCTCCGCGAAGTCACCGGCTGTTTGCTCGAGATGAACCAGGAAGTCTTCAAAGTCATCCTCGATTGCAAGATCTGTTAGACACTGAGCAACCCCATCTTTTATAGTTACCAGGCCAATTTGACTCAGTGGATTTTGGTCAAAGAACTCCCTAATGAAAGCCTCAGTTTGTTTGGCAACTACAACCATTCGGCTTGGTTTGAAATCCATCCCTGCAGCCGCCCTGGAGAGGTCAACAACAATGTAAAGGCCGAAGGTGAAGCTGACCTAGAAGGAGTAACAGACCTTGAAACAGATCTGGACCGTGGGCCCCCACTCCGACTCCTCCAATAGCTGTCCCGAGAAATACTCCTCCTTGAGTTCCTCCTTGGTACGGGGGAAATGCTCCGAGAGTAGCTTCTCCTCCTGCGCCTTGGTGAAACACTGCGCGAGTAGCTCTTCCTTGAACTTCTCCTCCTTGGCCCAGGTGACACACTGTTTTAACAGCCCCCCGTTTGGAGAGAGTAAAAAATGTATCTGATGATCTCTTTGATGAGGCGATGCTCTCTCTGTTTTTTCCGCCCTTGTGGTTTCTTGGCTCCTTGAATTGTGCAACGGTCTCATTATTATCACAACGAAGGATCATAGTTGGTTTTGCCAAAGGTACCACCAGTGTTGTAAAAAGCGGGCCTAGGCGCAAGGCGAGGTGAGGCGCGGCGCACTGTTTGCGCCTAAACAGGTCCGAGGCGAGGCGCTTTTAGTTAGGCGCGCGCCTTAGCTGCGACTTGAACAAGGCGACAGAGGCGCAAGGCGACAGAGGCGCAAGGCGCACTACTATGCGCGCTTGATCTTTTAATAGCTAGATCTGATCTAACGGCTGCGGGGGTGTGTTCGAATGGTTCTTAACCACAGAGGATTACAACTCATGTGCAATATGACCCAAATACGGCTCAAATGAACCCTAATCTGTGTCGTCTCTTCCTCTCTCGCCTTGCCTTGGACTTCGACTTCAACTGGGCTGCTTCGACTGGGTGTGTTCGACTTCGATTTCGCAGGTATGCTTCGCCATCTTCTTCTTCTTTTTCTTCTTCTTCTCCTTCTCTTTCTCCTCTTCTGGTCTGCTCGAGCTCGACTTCGACTTCTTTGCAGTTCTGTTTTTTTTTTGGCTTTGACTCTGACTCTCTCTCTCTCCCTCCTTCTTTTGGCTTTGTTTTGCCCCCCCCTTTTTTTTCAATTATGCCTTTGAGTTTGTTAGAAAAAAAAAATACAAATACAAAATAAGATTTTGATTAATTAATACAAAATAAGATTCTGATTCTGATTAATTAACTAAAAAAAATACACTGAAAAAAAAATTACAAATAATTAATTATTCACAAATAATTAATTAATACAATGTGCTACTGGTCTTTTTTTTTTCTTTATCTGTTAGGGGAAAAAAATAGATTCTGATTCTGATTAATTAGCTAAAAAAAATACACTGAAAAAAAAATACAAATAATTAATTATTCACAAATAATTAAAATACAATGTGCTATTGGTCTTTTTTTTCCCTTTATCTGTTAGGGAAAAAAAATTACAAATAATTAATTCATTACACATTACATTACACTGAAATTATTTTTCATTTATTAAATTTGTTGTGTAGAAAATGACATTGGAAAGTAATAGAAAAGATCCGGCGTGGCAATATGCCCATTTGGTAGAAGAGAATAATTTATACAAGTTCGAGTGTAATTTTTGTGGTAAAGTATCAAATGGAGGTGTTTATCGGGTGAAACAACACCTCGTGGGAGGTTATAGGAATGTCACTGCTTGCCCGAAGTGTCCAGCTCATGTAAGAGAAGAGATTAGAGAGTTCATGTCAAAAAATAAGACACAAAAAGAAGAAATGAACATGTTGCCTGATTTCGATGACATGGACATGGAAGATGAAGATGGTGATGTTGTTGAGATCAATGCCAATCAACGCCGTAAGTTTACAAGTAGCAGCCAAGGTTCATCCAAATCCAAATAAAAAATGCCAAAGAGAAAAGGGCCTATGGATGTTTACTTTACACCTAATCTTGAATCAGTGGTGAAAAATTGAAGAGACCAAGCAAAAGGGAAGCAAACCAAAATTGATGCAAATGACCCTTACAAAAAAGAAATGAGAGCTCGGGCAGTGCAAAGATTTGCAGGGTGGATGTATGATGCTGGTATTCCTTTTAATGCAGGAAATTATGAGAGTTTTGGACCAATGATTGAAGCCATTGGGCAATATGGTCCTGGTATGAAGCCACTAACTTACCACGAAGTGCGGGTTACCCAACTCAAAAAAGAAGTGAAACATATTGAAGATTTGATGAAGAATCATAAAGAGGATTGTGCAAAATACGGGTGTTCCATAATGGCTGATGGCTGGACTGATAAGAGAGGAAGGACATTGATTAACTTTTTAGTTAATTGTCCAAGAGGAACCATGTTTGTTGAGTCGGTTGATGCTTCTAGCTATTCAAAGGATGGGCAAAAGCTATTTAAATTACTAGACAAGTTTGTGGAGAAAGTTGGAAAAGAGAATGCGGTGCAAGTTATCATTGATAGTGCTGCAACTAATGTGTTGGCGAGTAAGAATATTTCCTCATTCCTTACATCAAAATTATTTACTCATAGTTTGTTTTGTATTTAAAATTTAAAAACTTAAAAATAATAATTCTTCGTTATTGTTACATTATAAGGAGGTTTTTGGAAGCCAAGTATGAACACTTGTATTGGACACCATGTGCTGCTCATTGCTTGGACTTAATGTTAGAAGACATTTTGAAGATACCTAGACTGAAAAAGACATTTGAAAGGGGTATTGCAATACATGGCTATATTTACAACCGACTTACTTTGCTAAACATGATGAGGCGCTATACAAATTTGAAAAATTTGATCGAGCCTGTAAAAAGTAGATTTGCAACCGCCTTTCTGACTTTGTCTAGGATGCATCAACAAAAAAACAATTTGAGAAAGATGGTCACCTCCGAAGACTGGACCTCAAGCAAATGGGCAAAGGAGCCACAAGGTAAAAGAATGGCACAAACTTTGTTGATGTCTTCATTTTGGAATACTGTTGTGTTTGCCCTTAAGGTCTCGGGTCCTCTCGTCAAAGTGCTTAGATTGGTTGATACCGAGAAGAAACCTCCCATGGGATACATTTATGAGGCAATGGATAGGGCAAAAGAATGCATTGCAAGTTCATTTGATCATAAAGAAGAGAAGTATAATGAAATCTTTGAAATTATCGACAAAAGATGGGATGTCCAATATCTTCGGCCTTTACATGCAGTTGCACACTTTCTTAACCCAGAATTCTTTTACCCAAAAGCGTTAGAGGTGTAAAAAGATCATGAAGTGATGAATGAGTTTTATGAATGCATGCAAAGGTTGGTCCCAGATGTCACTGTTCAAGATTTGATCACTAATGAGATAAGTATTTATATGAAGGCTGAGAGTCTTTTTGGCAAGTCTATTGCGATTAGGCAAAGAAATACAAGGGCACCAGGTAATATATTATAGACTCATAGAGTTTATTTTTAGTAATACTTTTAGTAAAACTCAATACTTGGTAACAATTATTTCTAACTAGTGATTGTCGCAGCTGATTGGTGGGCATCATATGGTTCTAAAACTCCAAACTTGCAAAACTTTTGCCATAAAAGTCTTTAGCCTAACATGTAGTTCATCGGGTTGTGAACGAAATTGGAGTGTATTTGAACATGTGAGTATTTAACATTCTAACTAATTTTTTGTTCAATTCAAATATTTTTTATTCTCATTATATAGAATTTAATATATTTTTAATACTTGTAGCTTTATAGCAAGAAAAGAAATAGATTGGAACAACGTCTCAATGATTTAGTGTTTGTCAAATATAATAGAACATTGAGATTTAGGTATGACATACGCAACACTCTTGATCCCATATCTTTGCAAAATATTGATGAAAGCAATGAGTGGTTGCTTGGGAGGATGGATGGAGAATCAGATGAAGATAATGGACCTGTGTTTGATGATGATGATGGCTTGACGTGGGCCACTGTTGTTAGAGCTTTTGGAGTAGAAGAAAGTAGCCATGCAAGTAGAGCAACAAGTTCACGCTCAAAGTCACAACCGAGGATATCTAAATAATCAAGATTAACTCCACTTCAATTAATAGATGAAGAGGAAGCGGGTTCAAATGACATAGAGGAGGAAGATGTTGAGGAATATAAATCAACTGATGGAGAAGAAGATGATAGTTTGCTTGCCATTTATGTTGAGGATGATGATTGACTGACTGACCTAAGTTCTAACCTTTTTCTTTTGATATTGATGTTTTGAAGTGTTAAGACATATATTAGTATTTGTTGGATATTTATGTTTTGAGTGTTTAGTGTTTATGTTTATGTTTTTGTTTTATTGAATGTGAATTATTTTATCTTTGAAAATTGGAATGTTATGTAATATGCACTTTCATGGCTTTGAGAATTATTTTATATTTTGTCTTGAATCTTGATTACTTTTTATTTTTAAAAAAATTGTTTTAGTACTATGAATGATTAGTCTATGTTAATTTTTTTATTTTTTACTAATATTATTTTTTACTTCAATAAAGCCCGCGCTTCGCCTTGCGCCTAGGCCCCGAGAGACCTTCAGCGCCTTAGTGCGCCTTGAGCCTTTAAAAACGCTGGGTACCACTCCAAGCTCCATGAGAAACTTTCGGAGCCATATGCTTTCTTTTGCTTCTTCACAAACTGGTATATACTCAACCTTTGTGGTAGAATTAGAAACACATAGTTTTTTACACTCTTTTAGATAATTGTGTGAGAATATTAGGTTAGGTTTATATAAATGGTAGTATATATTGTGTATATATATGACAGTGTTTCCTTTTCCTATATGGCAGTGTTAATATTAGGTTAGGTTTATATGTATGGTAGTGTATTTTGTGTATATATATGACGGTGTTTTCTTTTTTTTTTAGTCTTAGGGTTAGGATTATTATATAATCAGATGTATTCTTTGTATTATGACACAATTGAATATACAGATTCTTCAGAAAACTTACATAGTATCAGAGCTTCTGGTTTTGAGCTTTGGTTTGCTCATGATTACTTATCAGAAAACTTACATGGTATCAGAGCTCACTGGTTCATCGGGATTCAACCTATTGGTTCATCCCATCTGTTCGTCGCTTCTGTTCATCAGGACTCATTGAGTTGTTTGATTCATCTAACTCGTTCGACCCATCTGAGTTCATTTGTTCGACCTGTCTAGTTGGGTTGTTCGGTTTAGTTGGTTTGAGAGACCCATCTGGTTGCTTCGTCTCGTTTGTTTGTGGGCTTCTCCTTCATCGCATCTGGTTACTGATTCATCGTCTCCTTTGCCTCGCTACCCATTCGCGAAAACCCTAGCTAGTTGTTCGTGATCTCTCTCAGTGCTCTGTGTCGCGATCTCTCTGGTTTCAAAATCGCGACATTAGGCTGGCGCTGGACTTGTGAAGTTGGATAGTCGTCGTCTCACGACTCGCGAGGTTGGGTCATTGTGACATCAAGTTGCCTTGTCTCTCTCTACTTTGACATCTGGTTCTCTGGTTAGTTCTCCTTCATTCTTTGTATTATGACACAATTGAATATACAGATTCTTCATAAAACTTACAAATTGCTCCACCTCTATGAAGCACAGATACTTCTAGAAGGGATTCGTATCTGTATTCAATACCGATATTGCTCAGATACTCGTGCATACATATCCGATACTTTATATCAATTTTGTTTAATTTTGAGTAGTATCGAATAATTTTCGGACACTCTAGGTTACGTATCCAAACTATTATGAAATTAAGATTGTAAATTTTTCCATAGCATTAGAGTATAATTGTCAGGATAAATGTAAGAATAACTTTTCAATACTTTGCTTACCTGGGAGAAGAAAAAGGTGAAATTATCCCTATATTTTCAGAATTTATTGAATTGATATATCTTTATAAACATGTCATACACCTATCCCATATCCATATCGATACTTGTTAGAAAGCAATGATAAATAAGGAAACATGATGATACTTAAATGGATTTCGACAATTAAACAAGCAAGAACTTGTGTACAACACTCTTAAGTATGAAAGGGAAAATTACAACGGCAATAAAAATAGTTTGGATTTGATGAGAACAACTTTTAGTTTCTGAATGGTTGTAAGCTTTTGTTTTTTCCCCTTGAGCTTTAGTTCCAAACATAGACTGTTTCTTTCTCTCTTTCTTTTTCCCTGATGTAGCTTTACTTCTCTGGAATACTTTTGTTTTTTTCTCTTGAAAGGCCTCAACTATTTTTTTTTGCCCTTCTATACTTTCAACGAGTCTCCTGAATCTGAATGGCTAAATGAAGCCATTCAACTTTTAAAACCTAATTCCTTCCCTTACAAAAAAAGAAGCCATATATGAGCTAAGTGGGCAGGGAACTAATTGTCTAGGATCATGCTTGGATGTCTAGATTAGGCCCGATGTTTGGCCGGGCCGGGCTCAGTTCGAGCTCAGCCTGGTCTGTCAGATGCGATCTGTCAGATGCCCCAGCCCTAGGGCCCTAGTAGACACATAACAAAAGTCAATTTTGCACAAATCCTAAACAAACATCAAGTTAGAATCCATATATCCATTTGGCACCAAATTCTCAGCACCATAGACAAGCATATAGTCTCTAGTCTTTCTCAAGTCTTTAAGTATATGATTTATCGACATCCAATGTTCTTGTCCAAGATTTCACCGGTATCTGCTGACTAAGTCCACTGCATAACATATATGTGGTCTAGTACATAGCCTTGCGTATGTAAGGCTTCTAATAGCTGAGACATAAGGTATCACTCAGCCTTCGCAAACCTGTTAGATAATGGTTATTACATTATAAAATTATGGATGGGACAGAAACAAGCGATTGTTTTGAAGGAGTTCTTGAGAAGCCTAGGGCATGCTAGGCATAGTTATTAAAATATTTGTTTTTGTTCTATTTACAAAAAAGAAAGTTGAAAATTGTTTGTTTTGCTATTCTTAACTGTCAAGTATCAGTTTTAGGAAACATAAGAATTATGTGTGGTGTTTTTCTGTTCTTTGTTTTGTGTCCTTGCTAAAAATATATAAAAATAAATGTTAAGTGTCATATGTCGAAGTTTATTTGATGTTGCTGATTTACCATTTAGAGAAATCATTTTGGGAAATTATGCTAAACAGGTCCTAAGGTTGCCAATAGAGAAGCATCCTATCCTACTCTCTTATTGGTGACTGTCCCAAATGTAATGAGGCACTAGTTCCAATTGACTGTCTTTTCCCCATCATCTTTGATTCCAAGAGGCTTTTATCTTATTAAACCTATAGGAAAAATAAATAAATAACATCCCATTATTTTTTTCATTGTAGATTACATTAACCTTCCCTTGAGGTTTGGAAAGAATACAAGAAGCCTCACAAGTTTGACATAATTATATTGACCTCCTTTTTAGTTAGGGTAAAGCAAACTAAACTAATGCAGGTGGTGTGTGGACAAAGAGATTATCAAAGAAAAAGTATACATACCCTAAAGAAAGTATACATTTCAGTATAAAGAGATGACACCATTATTTTTCATCCTACGGCTAATGGATGATTGATGATAAAACATCAATGTGTTATGTGAATTTAAACATTAAGAGAGCACAGTGTAATTATGCCTATTATGTGCAGCTTGTATTTTTCCCAAACCTTAAGGGAGGTTGGTGCAATTTACTTTTTTTTTTTAAAAAAAAAAAAAAAATTATTTTGTTATTTGTCTGTACTGAAATAAATATTTAAACTCCAATGGTAGGGTTTTGCAACAATGAACTCACAGAGAGGAGTGATTGACACACCAATGCCTGAATAGGCAAGAAGCTGCAAACACAGGCTCTTGCCACCATTATTCAGCTTCTAGGGTTGTAATTGTGGCTTATGGCCTGTGCAGAAGGGTGAAGATGAGAGTAACATAAATTGTATGTATCCTGATTAGGAAGTTTGGTGCTGGGGATTTGCTGGTGTGAGTTATGGGTACTTACACATTTATCTACGAATGATTTTTTCTTTATTCTTCAAACTGTGGTATTGTTTGGGTTTACCAAAACTGAGTAAACATTGAGCATTCATTGTCTTTGCTAAAGTCCTCTGTTGTGCTTGTATTAAAATGTTTGCTTTGTTGAAGATGTAACATGTATAAGGCTAAAAGCTTGATCCTATGTTCATAAAATTTCAGTAGACATTCCTGATTCTTCTTTTAGATAACATGTTGTCATCTTGGTTAAATCTGAAGTGTTTTGTACAAATACCTTTGGGGAAGATGTAGTTTTTTTCACTTAGATTGCACGAAGTATAGAAGTGAAAGTGATGTAGACAGTAGGTAGACTAGAAAGAAAATATAAAGGAATATGTAAATTTAGTTCGATTCTATGGCAAGGCTCACTTATAATCTTATTTCTTCTTTTTAAATATTTTGAAGTCCTTTATATATTTCAATAAAGTTGGTTGCTAGAGTTAGGTGAGAAAATTTCTAGATTTGTCATCTGTTTACTGGGAATTATTTAGCTTTACTTTGAGGTATTATTTGTTAGTTTAGGTCTGTTTGGTAGGTTTTCTTGGTTTGAAGTAGGTCAGTGTTAGCTTATCTTGTTTCCCAAGATTATTCTTCTAACTTCTAAGAACAATATTTTGTGTTATTGAGTAATCAGGATGATTTCTGTATTGGAAGTTCTTGCTGAACAAATGGATGGATGGAATAATTTTTGAGTGTACAAGTGATATGTTATTGAATCTCTCATAGGTGTGATCAATATTACCTAGAATGCAAATCGTGCAATAAAAATTTAATAGAGATCACAACAACCGTTTGACTTGCTTACTTTTTGAATCTTTTATCAGAAGCATTTTCCCTCTCAGGTCGCTTAATGTCTAACATGGCTTTGTTTGATTCAGGTCGATCTTCTTGAGCCTGTATCACATTTCCTGGAGGCTGCCCGTGAGAATTTGTCTCTTGAAAACCTCACGGTTTTAGACTCCCACAAGGCCTCCAATTTTTACTGTGTCCCTCTTCAGGTAATATGCTTGGATTATTTTCATACCTATAAAAGGAGTATAACTGTTTTCTTTTGGTTTTCAAGGTGAATGATCACCATAAGTATTGTCTATATAGTAATGTAGGTTTGATTTTTGATTTTTGAAAGCATTTTTTTGTTGTCTTCCTTAATGGTGCCATTGTCATTTTAAATTATTATGTCTCATATTCATGTGTAGAATTCTGATATAAAGAATCCAAGTACATAATAATTGAAGATGAATAGCTAACAAGTATATTGAGATAACTAAAAAACTAGAAAGTATACATGGGGTTTCCTTGATAACCTGATTACGAGCTTAAATCAAATGTTTTTAGTGAATTCTCCACTAATTGCGTTGATTATGCATGACCAATGTGAACCACTACTCAAAATTGAGAACCCATTAAGAAAGGGTCAATTTTATGTCAGTTTCTTGATTGATCACTGAATATACAGAATAAACCTAGTGGAAGTGGTATCCAAATTGATTTTAATGAAAAATGTACTTGTAAATTTTAGTTTTTGAAAGTTTATTTGGTCCTTTTAAAATCAGTAACCGAACTACAAGCACAATTCGAATAGAATAGTGGCTTTAATCAGGGTTGAATCTCAAGGACTAAGAGTCGGAAATTAAGTTTCAGATTAATTCGGAAATTGTGATTGTGATAACTAAATTAAGAATGAAAATTAAAATTCTACTAAATTAATGCCAAGTTTGGCATCTTTCAAAAAATCCAAAAAGTCAAAAAGTCACTATCTTATTTAAGTCACATCATCTCATTTAAGTCACATCACCTCTCTAACACATCACTTCAAATCCAACCCAAATCCAACCCATATTTCATAAAAAGTCAAAAAGTGCACTTATTTAGTCTTCCATAATCAGGAAAAGTAGTGATTTTAAAGTTAAGAAAGACAAAGGGATTTGAATCCACCCTAATGCTGTAACTTTGATTTACGTATTAATTCAAAGAACCTATTGATTAAAATAGTTATGACACATTGTAGCTACAAGCCTAATGGTGTCGTCAAGAGGATTATGCGATTGCTAATCAGGTATAACTATCTTTGTCTAGTACAAATCATTTACAACCAACTTGAGTATGAATTGTCTAATTTAGAATAAGGTTATCTCGATTATCAGTCCCATATACACATAAAGCTATTGTATAATCATACATTCAAAATCATCGAAATCAAATACAAATTGCAAAATTGAAGTAATCAAGTTCCATTGAATGAAAATGCCTAAAGTTATACAATTGTCATATCATCAATCAATCGTAAAAATTATAATACACAAATCATTGTTATTTGGTTTGGGTTTCATCTAAACCCTAAAAAGAAGAGAATCAGCCACTCATGGAGAAGGAAGAGGACACAATCTTCAATGATAGCACCATTATAAAACGTCAAAATCTGTCTCTCTAGAGTAGGAGGCCTCTCAAAACATGAACCAACACTACAGTAGAGTTAAACAGACATATTTATACTTTACTGCCAAAACCCATCTGATTTCTGTCAAAATTTGTGTTTTTACTTAACTTTGCATCAATCTCGCATGAGCTACGCCTGAGAGCACCAATACCTGCGACTTAGCGAGCGCACACGGCCAATGGAAATTCTTCAAAAATTCCTCAAAATCCTCTCCTGTGCAGGACTCGCAGTCTAGCGCACCATGACTTGCACCCGAGCACAACTCGTTTCTCCCATGTCCGACTTTTTGCATCCTATTTTTGATAGGTCCCATGCTTTGATCCTTCTAATACTCTAGATTAGACTCAATTTCATCCCAAGGACCCGAGTAATCTGCACAACATGCAAGTCCATTAGAATTGTCAAGTAACAATGATTAAGAACATAACAAGTGTACTTTAAGGGGTCTCAATGCATACATTTTGGCACCTATCACACCTCCCAACTTACACTTTGCTAATCCACGAGCAAAGCAAAAATAAGAAGAAAACTATACTAAGCCACTTTTGCATTACAATTGCATTTACCATATGCAACGAGCTTCAAACCACAAGGTTATCCTTAGTGGATGAATTATAGTCTCATGAGAGTTTTCAGAGATGTTACCCACAAACATCAAATATGCCATCCACGTACCCACAAGAATGATGTTCAATCCTGGATTATGAATTTCAACTACACTTCAACTTACACACCTCACAAGAACGTCAAGTGAAGTCAATCAATAGTTTTCATTCATAGACAGAGTTAAACAACGGAAACTGTATTCATGCTCAATATGCAAGACATTTTCTTCCCTATCTATAATTAGATAGAAAGATACACAAATGCATTCGGTGTAAAGTGGACACTCATGCAAAGATGTAGCATGGATTCAGCCCTAGAGCCAAATCTCACACATCCTGCAATTCCACGACTTTCCATGACCTACAATAACTCAACTAATTGAAGCAAAACTACCTTATTCATCGGTTACTAAGTAGAAAACGTTAAAGGATGCTATGCTTCTTTATCCTTCATATTTTTTTTTCCTATTTTTTTGTGTGTGGGATGGGACAATCTAATCATCATGGGATGGGACATGCAAGATAAGAGAGCTAATATCATATTACCAACTTCATCCAATGCATGAATGTGTAGTACAGAAGCAAAATGCATCAGTGATCGATTTTTATCCAAGCATGACGAATGAATAATAAGCAAACACAATAAAATGCTGTCTTAGTGTTCCAAGGTTTGATTCCATCAATGAATATCAATTCGAGTGTTACACTCTTCTAACATTCTCACAAAGCATGCAAGTCAAAACCATCTAGACTCATAATTCCACACTAAAACACCTATCTTATGGTACCATGAATGGACAATTTTTTTTTTTAAACTAATTTTTTAAATTAATATTATTATTATTTTTTTTTTTAAAGAAAAGCAAACTGTAAAAAAAAAAAAAAATGTTCCCACCCTTAACTTGAATGACAGTGTCTTCACTGGCGAACTATAAAGAACAACAAAACAACAATAACACACAAAGAGGATGGAATAGTTATCACTTAAGGAGCTCACATGTCTGAATAGATAAACTGAGAAACAACCAATAGACAAATTCTCTGCAAAAGAGGAGCAATCCCAACAATAGACAGGATCAAAAGCACACAAGGAAAGACAATGTACAACAGTTCAAACTAAAAGGAGATAGAGTACTTAACCACAACACTCACTTTCACTAACCCCTCACCAAGGCTCATTGAAAACCTGGGGCATTGGGTGGCAGAGGATGCTGGCTAAGCAAGGCACGGAGCATGGCTCATGTCTCAAAGGTGTCTCACTAATGACGGTTGACGAGCTCTGAAGCTGTTAGGACACTCCGCCCAGCTGCTCCCCCAATTTGACGCACTCATACCTCATAAACTCCAAAGCGCAACTTCTCATACTGTGCCTGTGTCATATGGAAAGGAATCTGATCGGAGTCGGGCTTATCTGCATCATCATTGTCGTGTGCTGGTACGTCATCAGGCTGAGCAGGCGATGGTGGACTGACAGGATGCTGCATGTGTCGGAGATTGGCAAGGCACCGAGTCGGTCCAAAGGGAATAATAGTAGGGGCTGCCTCCTCGGAAGGGGAAATAGCATAGTTATCATGATGAACAAGAGCGAGATACAATTGGAAAAGGGCATATCCTCCAAGTCTGAGTCCCTTGTGTCCGCCGCACACTAAGGTCGTCATGGCAGCGATGCATATGTGTCGCTGCATTTGCTGAAAGATAAGCTCCGATATTATCCACCCAATAACATATAGTTTCTCTTCCAAAAATGACCTTTCGAGTTGGGAATATTTTATCCTGGGAAAACAATAGAAAAAAGTCTTTATTTCGATAGTTGTAGCTTTGCTTAAAAAATTAGTAGCATATGTGGTATAAGTCTACAAATTTTGTTTTGTTTTGTAGTTCTTTTTGTTTTTTTTATTATTATGTTTTCTATAGCTGTCCTTACAAATTTTGTTTTTCCATGGTTTTCTCCAATTCAGTCTTTTTGCACTTCTGTAGATAAGTTATTATTTCCTCCACTTTGTCCTCTTTATATATATATAGACACTATTAAGTAAAGCCAACACTCAAGTTGGTGTATATATATATATATATATGAGAGAGTGTGTGTGTGTGTGTGCGCGCGCGTGATATTTTGATTTTGGATGTTATGTGAACTTTCAGGAATTTAATTAGTTAGATCTCAGTTCTCAACTGACTACTATACTGCTCTCTGCCAAATTAATGTTTTGATAATTTTATCATAATGATGAGGCAACATTGGCACACTCGGGTTGTAGTTTTGGAACAAGGGTTGAGAAAGTAACCTATGGCCAAAGGACAGTCACATGCACTGATGCACAATTTATAAAATGATTTTTATTTTGTTTGATCATTCTTTTAATTTTAATTGTGTCGAATCCATACATGCCAATGGATTGGGAGGGCTGTCTTTGAGAAGAGCTTCGGGATTTAGGTTATATCCCTCAACAAATTCAAGTAATTTTCTGTAGTTCAAAACGTAATTGTTATGTTCCAAACAAATAACATGGCCTATGAGAGCTTTCCAAGGAGAAGACTAATCTTTTAATGTTAAGTTTGCCACTTATCTTGTTTACCTAGGTTAGTGTATGGTAGAATATCTGGTGTTAAAATCATTATTTTTTTTCTTAATAAGGTTGATCTGCCATGGCGAGTAACTTTTCTATTTTTTATTATTATGTTTTTTATTTTTTATGCCCAATGGCTTGACTTTTGTAATATTTTTGGAGACATATGACACTAATGTTTTGTCTATGCATTTCTAAATAAAGTGAAACTAAAATCTTGATTGGTTTTAGGAATTCACTCCAGAGGCTGGAAGGTATGATGTTATATGGGTTCAATGGTGTATTGGGCATCTTGCAGATGATGATTTTGTATCATTCTTTAAGAGAGCAAAGGTAAGGTCTCCTACCTATCATGACAACTCGTTTGTGGGATCTCAAAAAAGATTGGTCATCAATGACTAGTCTCTTTTAGCTTTCATTTTCAAAGGATCTGCACTTCAATTAAAAAAGTCATACTCATACATTGTTTGGCAATGCACTAAATAAGTGCACTTATTTACTTATTTACTATAAGTTGTCACATCATCTCTCTACTTTTCTGCACATCTATTCGTAAAAAGTCAAAAAATCACTGAATAAGAAACCCCAAATCACCCATCAGTGCACAAGGCTCCTACTTGCAGCAAGTTTGGGAGAGGTAGTAGATAGGTGACCTTACCTCCATGTTTATTGTGGAGAGGCTGATTCTCGTGATTCGAACTCGTGTCACAACGTTGGGGGTGGATAGTATTTGCTGTTGTCGGTTGCACTAGGTCACGGCCTCTCTGAATTGTTTTAACTGATATTTAGTACTCATGATAAAAAGCTATGGACAAATATGGATTATTTTATATCTTTGCCTTTATTGTGATATTCAACAATGACACCAAAAATTTGTATCCATAAAAATATTGCATTTTCATTTACAATTCTTGGAGCTCAATGTCATAAAGAAATTATGTACATTGTGGCAATGGACAATCTTATCTGTATCACGGTCATGTAGTTTTCATGTAGGGTGATTTTATTCAACATAGTTTCACTGGGAATTTTTTGTTTTTGTTGTTGTTGTTGTTGTTGTGTTGAATGATTTTATACAACATTTCTATGTGGTGAATTCTAATTTTGATTGACTAGTTTGTCACTTCTAGGGTGCTCTGAAGCCTGGTGGGTTGTTTGTGCTGAAGGAGAACATTGCAAGAGCTGGTACACTTTTTATGTTTCTCAATCTTAACTTATTCAGTTATGGATAACTTGTAGCTGCTTGCATATTCACAAATTATCTTTCCTATTGAGTTACTCTTGTTTTTGTCTCTTGTCTTGAGTTAATTGTTCCTTCACTGAGTCAAGCTTGAAGTCGTGGAAGCTAAAGTGTTGCCAGCTACAATATTGGAAATAACCAACAGAAATAGCTAATGTCCAAATTTCTGGCCAGCATGTTTATGAAAATAGCCTTATGATTCAGATGAAGTCATTCATGTTGGTTATGAAATCAATGGTTGTCATGATCAAGTAGCATGTACACTTAAATGGTGATAGATACTTCCAGTGAGGTGTTGTGTTAGTGTCAAACACCAACTTCTTGGACACTCGTAGAAGCATGTCTAACATTTAGAAAATGACTTGACTTATCAAAAAAATATAATTTAAAATGAGTGTTAATTTTGAATACTTAAATCACAATTATTGATAAGTTATTATTTCCTCCACTTTCGTAGTGCAAACATGTTTTAAAGAAGTTAATGTCAAACATTCATGAAAATGCCATGGGCACGCCCTAAATATATCTCAGATTTTATGCTCTGGAAGAAGACGTCACATCATCATATACATAACCTCACTAATCAGGCATGTAATGGACCATTCTATTCAAGAAAAATAATATCGTTGTTGAGAACATAAATTAATAATAAAAAGTCGTAGTCCAAGAAGCACAAACACTTCTAAGAAGGTGTCGTATCATGTTGGACACTAACACGACATGACACTCGCCGGACAATTCCCAACATTTGTCGAACATATGTCCAAACATGTCTTTGAAATTTGTTTACTTGGACGCAGTTCTTACACTTAAGAAAGATGTGTGTATGTCTTAAACTTACATGAATCACATCATAAATTTGAATAAAATAGCTTGAAATCCAATTATTAAAGTAAAAAAACGTAAATTTATATATATATATTCTTCTCCTTTGAACTTTTAAAATTATTATTTTTATTATTATATTAAATATTCATGTATATGACATTTAATAATTGTTTATCATTATATATGCCATATAGTAAGTATATAAAACTATATAGTTTGTCCATGTTCTCCACTTGTCATATACTATATTTTTTGAAATTTTTCGCCACAGTTTATCATTAATTGGGCACAAGCTAATATTTTCTTTTGTCATCATCTTCGTATTGTGTTGTATCAACCAAGAGACAATCAAATGAAAGAATTGACAAAAGAGATGTGATGCCCAAATCAAATTAAGGGAAAAAATAAACAGTACACCGAGTTTAGTACCCATTAGATGGGGGGTCTGGGAGGGGTAGATGGGTATTAGACCTTTGGCATTATATGCACAAAGTGGCTGGCCTCAACTTCAATCCCACAGCCTCAAAGTTTGTAGGCCGAGTTTTAACCACTAAACTAGTGGCCTCCTGTTAAAATAAAGGAAAAAATAAAAAGAAATGTATAGTCAACTCATGACTTAAAAGCCCTATATTTTTTTTTTTAATTTTTAATTTTTTTTTTAGTGGAAGACTTAAAAGCTTTTGTATCTCTACACTTGTAACATTGTTGATTTGAAATTTAAGTAGGCAAAATGTATGACTAGACATCTATTGTAAATATGATGTTGAAAATGGAAAAAATGAGATAAACTTGTAGTATGGTTGAATGTTTATTCAAATTTTGCAGGTAAGGATGGTTCTTTCTCTTGTTTTGGGGGAAATTAAGAGGAATCAGGCTGACCTCAACTATCTAGTCAAATAGTCGAATACTGATGATTTCTGAAAACAATTTGAAATCCCAAGTATCCTGTGAATGCTTAAGTCTTGAGGTTAAAAATTTTAATGATTAAATAAAACCAAGCTAAGTACACATACTGATGATGATGGGTATGGAAAGAAGAAGAATAGCAAATATGGAACTTCCCATAGACTACTCCTAGGTAGGATCGAATTACTTCTCAGCGTGTCGTTCCATTCACAAAAACAGAAACATTAGGAAAAGTTTTGGAACCTTTTTGAAGGCGACAAAAAGAATTTGAATAAAAATGCTTGAAAAAATGAATTGAAATATATCTAAATATATATGTAAATTAAAAATAAAAAAAATATTTCAATGTTGCGAATTAAAAATTGTTAAATATTGTCAAATTAATTTTATTAATCATGAGTGTAAATGATTCTAAAATTATGTACGATCCCAAGAAAATAAGGTCTAATTTGTTAATTATTATTATGTTATTATTGCTATTTTTACTGCTACTACTACCACGACTACTAGTAGCAGCCTTGAGGAGGATCATTCAAACAAGTTTTCCACTTCTCTTGGTTGATTGCTGCTCAAATCATCTCCTTTTTGGAATTCTATTGGCCAATTAATATTTGACCACATTGAGCATTCTTTTAGTAGATAAAAGTGGATTTGATTCAATTTCATTTTGGCCTAACCTTGCTTATACACTAGGCAGTACTTGAGGTTTTAAAATATGAATACCTGCTAAACTACATATCACATGTTTTCTAGGATTTGTGTTGGATAAAGAAGATAAGAGCGTTATTTTTTTTTTTTTTTTTTTTTTTTTTTTTTTTTTAAAGAGAGGTGAATGAAGTATGATACAGTGTCTAGAATCCTCAGGTGTTCACCTTTATGAATTTCCAAAGCAAGTTGAAATAAAATGATAGTTCCTCGGAGTTTCCTATTTGTAATGCGGTGCTTTGACAATTCGATTAGCAAAAGGCAAGTGCCTGTTAATTGGTGTTGTATGTGTAAGCATGATGAGAAATTGGTTAGCCATCTCCTTATCCATTGTGAGGTGGCATTGGGAGTTGAAGATGGAAGGCTTGAGACTCGGTCTTATTGACTTTGATGTGGGTAGTTTGGGGAGAAAGTATCAATTTTGCGGTTGAAGAGTAGATTACTTTCCTTTTTGTATAGTTAGTTTTCGAGGACTGTTAATTCATCTTTGGATTAATTTGTGGACTTGATAGAGGCATTTGAATAGGCACTTTGATGTTTAGATGGTGTAGTTCTTTTGTACATGGACTCTACTCCAATCACCTTCTCTGCCTCTAACTGGCTTTGACAATGCCCTCAATCTAACATTGTGTTAATTCCATTGACCGATAATGTTATGCACGCCAGAATAAGTTCAGTATCAAAGCCTTTAACTTCAATTCTTCCCTCAAACAAATCGGAAAAAATTGATGTTCGACCGTCCACTTTTAACAAACCTCCACAACCGTCTCCGAATAATTTGAATGTCTTGTAGCCAATAACAAAAAGGCAACATCCAGTTTTCATAATAAGTAATTACTTTCCAACACATAGAACTCTTTGGTTTCCATTTTTGCATCACCACCATGAAAGGTCCCTCCAAAAATGCCTTGCTTTGCTTCCAAACTTGTCAGCCTTCTCCTTGCTGTTTTAAAAAATCAGAGCTTTATTTGATTGGAACAGGAAAATTCTTCTCAAACATACCTAAGGTTTTTGAATCTGGAGCCATTAATCATGTAAATTCTCTCTTGTAAATGCTATTACTCACCTGATTTCTCACGGAAATAATCTCGATTACAAACTCTATTTACCCTTGTTATTTGTGCTCTACCCCAGTTTCTATGTACCCTCTTAAGTTCTACTGATAGTCCTTGCTTTTTTCCCTGAACAGAACGTTATGCATCATTGTAGCCATATCCAACCATCCTGTAAGCCCATGATATTAGATGGAATGATACAAATTTCTTCTTTTTACCACCTTCCGATTTCAAAACTTTTTTAAAAAATCCATCTTTTGTTAGATAATTTCACAACCGATGCCATAGAGTTGCTACATCAATGTTTTCGAAAGAATGATCCCCATTCGATGAATGTAGCAGCTTTCTTTAAAACCTAAACAATCAGTAACGCAGAGCCTAGATCCACAGTTAACTCATAACTTTGCATTTTCTATTTCTTTCAGTAACTCTGATAAGCTTCCCACCTTGCGCTCCATCAATTTGTAATTTGAATTTTTATGATCCTTACTATGATTCCTGTAGATCTTATTGTAGCAAATTTATCAAAGACCTCATATTCAAGACATAGAGTCAACACAAATCACATCATTCCAAATGACTTGATCTCTTCTCTTCCCACCAAGAAATATGGAAGTTCCTTTGTTAGTTGCCAAGAAAGCCAGATTTCTCTAGCATCTTTGAAACTTACTTCACTACTATGGACACTTCTCTTTGGACCAAAAAGACATCTTGATGATTGTGGTCATGGCCTTAATGTTTGTGGGGGACTGATTGAAGTCAACAATAAAATAAAGAAATTTTCTAATTTCTTTGAGGCTAGAATTAGAGTGTAAGGTTTTGATTATGGTCTTATTCCAGTGGCAATGACCATTTCGGTGGATGAAATTGAATTTCGCCGTGTTTGGCTCATGGATTTGGAAAAGGAAAGGAAAATGTGAGGGAAATGTGATGAAATATTAGCTAATTTTTTTCTCCAGTTCCCTTGCTTTTTCCTTTTCCTTTTCTTTTCATTTTCCAAATCTCTACCCAAATCGTGATTCGAATACAACCTTAATGTGTGTCTAAAACCTCTGTCAAAGCTGATTAGACAAAGGGCAAGGTAGCATGAAGGATGTGGACAACCGTCTGAAAGTTGAAGATGATGGGAAACTGAGACAAGGCATTCTTGTCAGGGAATGGAAAAGGAGTGATATGGGTGTTCATACTACAACAAGGGACATTAGTGAAAAGTCAGGCCACGTCATGGGGAGAATGTGTGTGATTAATGGTGCTAATCAACAAGGGTTTCAACAAATAGGCACAATTAATGGTGTTAGGTCTAGCAACATATTTTCAAATTCAAAGAAGAAGATAAGTGAAAGAGTTTGACAGAAGTAGACCGAGAATTAAAGAAAGAGCCCAAAGTGACATGGCCTCAAAATCTATAAGTAACTCTGAGTCTGTTGGGCCTTCCTCGGACTCTATATGGATTGTGCAAATTAGTCAATCAAGGAAAGACTGGATTTAATGAAGGCATATCAATTCGGCCTATTTCTTTACCCAAAAATATACCTGATAAGGGAAATTCCAGCCCAAAATAAAAGGTCTTTGTAGATGTTCCCTTTACCTTGTGTTATGCTATTTTTGTTGTTTCTAACAGAGAAATTCTTTCAAATCAGGATCAGAAGGGATTTCCTGAGGAATTATTTGCAGTGAAGATATATGCATTAACACCTGATCCTCCAAAGAGGGTAAATGGGGCCAGACCTAAAGCGCACACCAATAGACCAGGCATCATCAAGTGAGGAAATTGTTGCAAATGGAATTTCGCTTCTTGATTGAGACACCAAGACAATTATGTAACCTTAAACAAACAAACATGAAACATAGAGATGGAACTCTACTTAGCCACAAATTTTACGGCTTCTAAATTCTTGTAAGATGACTTTTTCAATTGTCTTCTTACTTGGATTTGTATGTTACCATGGTTGCATTGGGTCTTCTATATTTGTTGTTTACTCTGATATTCCGTACTGCCTCTCATTCTTGTAAAACTGCATATAGTGAACTTGTATACATTGAAAAGTTTGTTCCATATGTTTTATATGTATGTCAGTGTTATTTTTCTGTTGGTTGGTTGTGCTTTATGGAGTTTTTGTACAGTAGCGGATTATAAACTTTTTGACATTTTAAGGAGCTTGAAAATGAATGAAAAGAAACTTCAAAAAAACAAAACATTAAAAAAGTTCTGATCAAATGATTGTTCCGTCGCTGTCTTCTCTCTATTTCTACAAATTGGTAATCCTTTAACTTCTTACTTGCCAGTCTCCTTTTTGATAGAGTTGGAGCAAGGCTTTTCAATATGTTGATTGTGTTGCATGAATTACAACGAATCTTACAGGTTAGGGATAGCTGTCACCCAGATTTTAGGTTCAAGTCTACGTATTGATGTGAGTTTCAGCATCTAAAACTCGAAATAAGCAAAAATTGGTTTTTTTATATTTAAATCTCTGAAAAAACTCGGTTACCATTTGTTACTAAAAGCTGTAATAGTTAAAACTCAGCTTGCTTATATATATATATACACTAGAAGTCTTGGCACACGCTACTACGTGTGTGTAAATCAGTTGGATCGACAGTTAACCGATTAAAACAGATAGGACAAGCAACTGCTCATGAGTTGGCTTTGTTTGATGGATATATTTGATCTCAGCTCCTAATGGTTTGTGTGCTTTAAGAGTAAATAACAGAGATTGAACTGAATTACACAATGATTTGTACTTTTTCATGAATCACAATCTCCAAACCTGCATATATCTTGACCATGGAGAAGATGTACACAATTCTATTCATATCCATACATAAAAACATTCAAATACATACAGAAATTCCAAATTAAGCACTAGTAAACTTCATGTTCATCTTGATTGAATGCGTCGGTGTCTTCTCCCTCTATCTCCATGCATTACTCTCTTTTGATTCGGAGATGCTGAAACCAAAACAAAAGAGTCATATAATGTAGTTATCATGTCGGAGATCTGATCCAAGCTCGGCTGTCGGCCTCTTGACGACAGGTCTGTGCACATTAACCCTAAACCGATTGCTTCTGTAGCTTGATCCAACGTATGTTGAGTCATCTTTTTCATTCTCTCATCGATCAATGACACTTTCTCAGCAACATATGTATTATTTGTATAATTCATTCTCACCCACTCAACAAAACCAGCTTCCCCACTCTCAAACTCTTCTCTAGGCCTTCTGTTTGTTACCATCTCCAAGACTAACACTCCCAACTTGTTAACCTCTGGAACATAGAGAGAGAAGGAAAGGAAGAAAGAGACATCATATCCACTTGCATTATTGGAGAAACAAGTGTGAGCATGAACAAACATTTATATGCTCTGTTTGTTTCGGTAGAAAGTATTTTTTTCCTGTATGTTCTGGCAATTTGATGTAATGGAAAATAAAAGTTAACGAAGATCGCTTTCCGCGTTCCACTGAAAACAAACCCATATTAGGGCACGTCAAAAATATGTTCCAAACAAAAAAACTCACCAATGCCACTTCATCAATACCATCCTCTGTGACCAACATGTTTTTAATAATGGTATCGGATTACATATCGGAATTGGTAATATAGTCATTATAAGTTGATATTGGACATATATCGGAAGGTTAAAATCCTGTTATGTAATGGCCGATACAATATATAACTACCGATATTTAAAATTATGACCACCGATATTTAAAATTATGATTGCCACCACCACCTCCACCATCTCTAATACAACCACTAGGATATTATTAGATTCATGGTGGCAACCAAACACAGGAAAACGGTAAATATTTTTTGAAATTTTTTTTTTCTTAGCAGAAAAATATTTTCTACATAAGCAAACAGAGTGTAAATAGTGCTGCACTAATAAACAATACTCAAGATAGATAGAGATGTAGAGATTGATCAATTTACTCTTGTTGGTGCAACCGTTTTGATCTTCAACTCTGAATCTTGAAATCAATGCCTCCCTATGATCCTCAGGTAACAATATGCTACTAGTCTTGAGGTCATATCCAACTTGAGGCCATTCCTCTTGCAGGTAACGCATAGCTTCCACTATTCTCATCAACATCTTCACTCTCTTCTTCCATGGCGGAGCCGACCTTGACAGCCACATTTCAACATTCTCTCCTTCAATCCATTCTGCAACTACAGCCCTCAATCGTCGATGATCACACCAGCCCACTACTTGAACCAAGTTCTTGTGACTTAACCGAACAAGAACCTTACATTCTTCAACAAAATTTCGTCGTTCTTCTCTCGATATGTTTTCCCAATAAGTTTCAATCCTCACTTCACTTCCATCTCTCAGCAGCCCTTTATAGATATGAAGTTGATCACTCTTTGCCACCAAATTCTTCTTGGAAAACCCATTTGTTGCTGCCTTTAGCATCGATGGTGTGAACTTGTGCTTTCTTTGAAAGATTCTAGGAAGAAAGTCTGGCCGATAAAAGCAAAGCCAGCACAAGAACACAACCATGAAAATCATAAAGATTGGAAAGCCAAACAGCAATAATAGAGCCTTGATTTTGAACTTTTTGTGATCTGGGATGAGTCCAGAATAAAGAAAACTCGAAGAATTAAACCGTTTTAAGAACTTGGTATCAGAGATTTTAATTTCCGAGAAGTGATTGTATGATAGGTTAAGATAAGTAAGGTTGGTGACAACCATAGACAAGTTTTGTATTGGAACATCCCCTGAAAGGTTATTGTGGCTCAAATCAAGAGCTTGGATTTGAGAACAGTGAAAAATATCAGATGGGAAGTTACCTTTCAAAGAGTTGTTGGCAAGATCAATTGATAGGATGGTTAAGGGACAGAACTTCCAAAAGAAGGTGAAAGATAAGTATAGCGGGGCGATCTTGGGGCGGTTTCGAAGGTCTATTTTAGGGAAGGACTCAATGCAGTTTGGGTTTTTCGACTCGTTGCATAAATGGCTTGCAACAATGGTGAATTTGAAGATTTCTGGGAGGTCCAAGCCTAAGGGGGTGACATTCTTGCAGTATCTTAGAGATGGTTGGTTTTTACAGTTGTTGACGATTGTTGTGTTGAAGTCTGGAGGTGGGTTTAAGTTGTTTAGATCTTCCACAACTGTTGCAGAGAAGGTAACAGAAGAGGAGATTGAGAGTGTGGTGTAGAAGAAGAAGAGAAGAGAAGTTAAAGAAATGGAAGAGGCCATGGAGGAGTTTGTGAATGTGTCTTCACAGAGAACTCTTCAAAACTCTGGAATGTTGAATGGTTGGTGTGGGGGCAACCCATGTTTACATGTGGCCTTGTTTGGCAGTTATATTAAGGTTTTTAACTCTTTTTTGAGAGATCAAAGTTTGGATGTTTAAACGGTTGGTGTGGGGCCGACCCATGTTTACATGTAGCCTAGTTTGGCGGTTATACAAGGTTTTAAATTTTTATTGTTGTTAGAACTGATATAGGTGGCCCTACAATTTGATTGTTCTGCTGTGTGAATGAACACTTGAACACATCTCTTTTTTTTTGAACAAACGAGATGCATAGGTGTTTTGGGAATTTTTTTTACTGTGACACTACACCAAGTCAAGTTTACATATAATAGTAGTATATATATAATATTAAAAGATGTATATGCTCACATGAGTATGTTTGAAATTTACAATTACAAATTTATAGTTACAAAGGGCTTATGGTTGCATTTGAATTTGATAGTTACAGAAGAAGGAGGGTAGTTTAAGAATTACAAAAAGTTGTGGGTTCATACCAATTCAAGTGTAACTGCCACATTGAAATACACCCATCAATTGCTGTAAGTGCAAATTTCAAGCACACCAACGTGGGTGTACCCATCTTTAGTGTATATATATACTAGAAAGGTAAGCATACTAGCGTGTGCAACTGAAATGATCATGTCTACTATGGAATTTATAAGTTAGGCAATCGAGAAATTTAAAATATTTAAAAAAAAGATAAAAATTGAATGTATAGCATTGCTATTGCATGTAACTGCTTTTATGGCATTTCATAAGAAAAAAAATAAAAATAATAATAATAATTAAAAAAAAAAAGAGTGACTTGTCCACGCCAACTTAGATGTAGACTTGGTTCCATTTGGAAATGGGCTACTTTTTTTATATTTTGATTAGTTAGTTATTTTAATAGGCTATTTTAAGTTTTGTAATTGAGAAGATAATCATGTTGTAGACCCCCAGTTGAGGGTGAGTCCCACCACCCCTACATACACGTGGGGGTCCAAGAGATGATGAAAAAGAAAAAAAAAAAAAACTTTTTTTTGGACCAATCAGCACCCACTGGGGGTCTCCCCCATTTTCCTTGAGAAGATGAGTTGGCTTTTTTGTTAGATTGTTGTACTGAAAAATGTGTTTGACATGATGTTGGGATGGCAATTGCCCGTGAGATTTGTTTTTTTGGCTCTTCAATTAGTGTATTATTCAATGCTCACAAGGACAAAATCGACATTTCACTACCTATGGTGGCAGTTTTGCCAAGACACGTGATTCACTTTTATTTATATATGCTTTTTTGCTTTTTCTGGTAGGCTATTTTCATCCCTAAACCAACTTCCCAAACAGCGCCTTTATATAATAGCATAGATATATATAGGAAAATGTTTGGTGGCCACAAATTCTGTGGTTCAAATGGCTCGAAAATGCCAAAACGACGTCGTTTTGGCATTTTTAGAGTTGTTTTGTACCCAAAACGACATCGCTTTGACATTTTCGGGCCATTTGAGCCACAAAATTTGTAGCCATCAATCATTGCCCGATATATATATGAACAAGTTATATATGAAAAGAGTATGCACATCATATATGAATAGAGTATGCACATTAACGTGCGTAAGAAATCGTGAGAGTGGAAAGAGAGTTGTGTGTAGTGACTAGCAGTTATTATTTAGTGATTTTATTTCTTTGGTCCTTTAGGTAAGATAAATCTTTGGAGAAAATATAATATTGCGGTGGTTATTTTGGGAATCAAAATTGTATGACAAAGTTGTTCATACCAAGTCACTTGTTTGCTTTGTATAATAGTAGCAATGGATGAAAATACGATGGGTTTACAATTTTTTTTGTAAGTTTTTTGATGGATTGATGAATAAGAGGCAATTTAATGGCAATTGTAAATAGTTTTGAGGGATTTGGGTTTTTTACAACCAAGCTCTTTTAGCAAAACAAGCCTGGAGACTTCTTACTAATCCTGAGACCCTTTTATCTAAAATTCTTTTGGGGGTAATGCTGTCATTCCAAATCTCTCCTTGTTATTAGGTGGCTAGTTATGTTTCTTGGGGATGGAAGAGTATTCTTTGAAGGCAGGGACTTACTGAAGCCTGGTTTGTTGTACCAAAACAAACACCAAGCACCAAACACCAAACACCAAACACCAAACACACACACACAGAGAAAAGAGGAACACAAGGTTTATGTGGTTCGGCAATGCGCCTATGTCCATGGGCAGCGGATTTCACTGTATGGAGAGAAATACATAGATTACAACAATGGAGGAGGCGGAGACAATACTCTCGCTCTTCTCACACTCACTCAGTTGCTTATACTCTGCTTACACTATCTTCTGATTGCCACACTAGAACCTCTCTTATTTACTAACCATTTATAGATGTAATGGGAGAGCCGAAGTCTTCAACAAGCCACCGACAACATTTATGACAGCCACCAACAGGATCTGATGATTAGCCACTCTACCATGGAGTAGTTCGGCTGAATCTTTAGCCCAAATCTCCAGCTTCTTCATTTGTCTTCAATTAGCAGCTATTATTGACAAAGTGAATCAGAGCCAACCTTTAACATGGTTTACTATGGATAGTGGGGATGGCAAATCGATTAACCCTTTGGAGGATCAATGGATTCCCTCTCTACTTAATCCATTAAAGTGGAAAGGGTCTATTGAACTATTTTTCGTCCTTATCTTTATCCCACTTCATTGATGCTCAAAACCATTGCTGGAGAATGGACTTGTCAAGCCTGTTCTTTCCGGCTGACTGCATTATTCATCAGTCATACACGTGTCTGTGGAGCCATGTAAAGATAGAATTGTTTGGGGTCCTAGCAAGTCTTCTGAATATACTGTCAAAACTAGATATTTATATGCAGTTGGATTAGCATATCCTAGACCATCCCACAAGAGCATTGACTCCTTTTGGAAATGGTTATGGAATCAGTCTTTTCCTTTGAAATGTCTTCATTGACCCAGTAAGCCCATGTTGTGGGAAGCAGGCACAAACTTTGGAGCATGTTTTCTTCCCATGCCGCCAGTCTCAAAGGATATGGCGTGGATCTTCTTTGGTTCTGGATTTCACTAGAGGGGATCCATTGACCTGATTTAAACAATGGGTTAAAATGGTGAGAGAGGAAGAATTAATTATTCAATCAATGGCCATTCTTTGGGCCATATGGAAGCAACAAAGTAGTTTTGTTTTCAGAGGCAATCAAATTATCTTTTCCCAAGCAATTGCACTAACACAAGATTTGACCTGTAATGTTAATCGATGGCATTCCTCAAGTTTGTCACAAAAAATTAAAGTCTTAACTGACAAGATAGATCAGGATAGAACTAGCTGCATCCTTGTGAATTCCATATCTGATGCATCAGATTATCGGCTGTGGACTTGTCATTGATTTCTCATGGAGGGCAGATGACTGCAATGCTGGTTTTGTGTGAGTCTGCTTCAACATGGACCAAGAAAAGGTAACAGATAAAGCTACTTGTCTTCATCTATTCTCACCGCTACTCGCAGAAGCAAAGGAGTGCTTGGATGCTGTTCAATGGACTGTGGAAAACCAAATAGCATGTATGTCCATCTTCACCGATAGCCAGGTTTTGGTTGATGTTCTCAGTGACGAGGGAGCTGCAGACTGGAATATTGCAACTCTTATCAGAGACATCAAATCTCTTAGCAAGTTTTTTTATTTTCTTAGTATTTTGGAAGTACAGAGGAATGTAATTAAGCTACCCTACCTATTGGTTAGACAAGTTAATGCCCTTAATATCTAATGTATGTCATAATCGTTTGTTCTGTTAATAAAAAATTGAGAATTATTTCACCAAGTCAAGTATTTTTTTTTTATTTTTCATCCCTATATACGTACCAATTGAGAAAAAGAAATGGCAATTACGCTGTGTTTAGTTAGAAAATTTGGAGAGGGATTTGAAAATAGAAATAGAAAGAGAAAGGACAAAAGTGTGCAAAACTAGATGAAATGTAAATATATTTTATTCACATTTCACCTACTTTTTTCATTTCCTTTTCCAAATCCTCTAAGCAAACACAAAATTAAGAAAATTATACAAAATTAGAAAGTCCAATTAAAATGAAAGATTGTTCGGTGCTCTTAGAGCAAATCTAAGTGATGCTTCAAATTAATAGCTATTGTTAAATTGAAAATTGCACTGACGAAGAAATCTGCAAGTCCAGTCAGCCCATTTATGACCATCACCTAAGAGAATTTCTTGGTCGTCCCTAAAAGTCACTTCATCACATCATTACTCAATAAGATATTCAAAATGGACCAATGCCAGGAAAAATGATTTCTCCATTACAAATGTAGTATACCCTAATTATCTCCCAACATGTCAGGATAAAACTAACTGATCCTACTTCATCACTTGGCTCCAAAATCAATCACACAAAATAATAAACCAAAATGTTACTTCCTTGTTCATTTTCCTCACATATTCTTTCCCCGCATTTTTGTTTTCTCACAAACCTCAAAAGGTTTGCGTGGTTGACTAAGCTATAATCAACAAAGCCATCACAGAACTCAAATCAAAGTTACCAAACAAACCAAGGAATTCAATGTATGTATGTTTATAGGTGATGGTTCCTTACATAACTTTCTTGCTATCTGAACGTGATAATCTTCGATCCAATGATTGTAACTGGTTTCGAAGGTTTTGGTTGTCCTCAAGCAAACGATCATATTCAAGGAGAAATCCTTCTGATTGCTTTTTTAGAGCAAGCGCATTGGCTTCGGCATTTTTTGCCTCTTTTGTCATTGCCTCGAGTTCTGATTCCAGCTGGTTAACCTTTGCTCTTAATGTGGTCATCTCTTCCTCCAAGGCTTTGATTTCCTTGGCACCTCCATTTTTTCCATCCTCGAAATTTTGGTTTTGTTTCTTTACAGCCTCCATGCTCTTCCTTCGTATGCGGAGTTCTCTGATATAGTGGTGTAGTCTGTCTATCATTAGTGCAAGGAATAGGGAGAATCCTGCATTTTATTACCCGACTTTCAATACTGGTAAAACAGCTACAAGAAACTGATTATGAACATGGTGCATAATCTGAATATAAGATGCATTAAGAAGAGAATGTGAAAGGCTGTAGATGATTTTCCAGTTGAACTTTCTCACCCACAAAGAAAGTCACCAATAACAGGAAATCAACAAAACTAATTCCTAGTTAACCGATATCATGGAGTTTTCAACATAGTTACCCCAAAGAACACAGTCCAGTTATCCACCCAACATGAATATTTCACATTTTCCTATTCATGTTGACAGGGGAAAGAAAGTAAAATTGGGGAGAATAAGGTAGTCCATTCATACTGGAAAAGCAAAAGAGTTTGCACCAGATTATGAAAGCATGAAGGTCCTGTGAGATTACCATGCTGCTACTTTGACAAATTGGTTTGGTGACTTTATTCCAGTTGGGACAGAATAAAGATTATTTTTAATGTTTTTTTTTTTTACCTTTGATAAGTAGACCGAAAAATAATGAAACCTTGTTTGTGGTTAGATGCTATATATATATATTTTTTGAGGACCGGGTGTCCGAATCAGTTTACGCGCACCTTGACTAATCCTAAGACTCAGGCTAAGCACCCTCTCCATGTGGATCGGATGGATCGGGCAAATCTCAAGTAGAGCTCACGAGATTGGCCCCAATGAGTTGATAATACCTAGTGAGAGTTGAATCTGAAACGTAGAGGGAGGCACACCTCCAAGCCCCAAGTTGCACCTACTAGGCCAACCCTTTGGGGTTGTGGTTAGAGGCTATAGTGGTTAAAGGCTATATTCAGCATTAAGAAAATTTCAATGTGTTCATGCAGTTCAATGTGTTCGTACAGTTTAATTAGTTGCTCAAAGCATCTTATCCCAGAATTTCCACCTTAGTAAGATAAAAATGAAAAAAATGAGGTAATGTGAACATTAAAACAAAATAGCAGATCAAGATGGAACGCAGATCAAATGCCTAAACAGGACAATGACAGAAATTTGACATATTTAGTTAAACAAGGAAGCATCTTTCTTTATCAGCAATTATTAAACACAAGACTTGACACGAACATGAATAAATGATAATATGGTTCTCTGCAATTAAAAAAAAATTGGAGAGAAAAGAAGAAAAATTGGAGTTTATATTTGGCCATTCCCACAATAACAATCAAACTCCAAAATATCTCAAACTCCCTCAAAGGTCCCCACCGGCCATTGATTTCCCTGAAACTCCAAAATCCTTCTTCAAATTGTGCATCGTGTTTCTTCAATAAAAATATATGTAACCATTGAAATCAATTTGATTTCCACTATAAAAAATAAAAAAAAATTAAAAAACCCCTGTTTTTCTTCAATAAAAATAGGAGAAATTCCACATCAGTGACTTTTTGATTTGACAAAATACTTACAGATTAGTGGAAAAATTTATACATTTAATTATTAATGTTTATAAACTTTACCATTGATTTGAAATTTTTTTTCTGAAAAAATACAGTGACATGTAAATCTCGCATAAAATTATCTTTCGCCACAGAAACACGAAAGGAAATTATAACTACATAACATATTATTTTCTAACTTGTCCCACTGGTTTTTAACCACTCAATCAATCATAGCTCCTGGTGTGTATTGGGTTCGTGTGGAGAAAGGGGAAGAGAAAAAAAGATGAGAAGAGAAGAACAGTTTGCAAATTTACATGACAACGTTCTGCTCGACTCAACCCCACACAACAAAGTCTTGCCTCCAATCAAAAAACATCCCTCTTATGAATAGATGAAAAAAAAAGAAGAAAAAATTCAAACAACAATCTGGGTTTCTTTGGTTAGGCAAATTCAGTTATTTCATCTTGAATTAACTAATTTAAAATCTGAAAATTCGAATGATTGAATCCCCCAATTTTTAGATTTGATAATTCTACATCTTCAAAAAAAAGAAAAAAAAAAAAAAAAAAAAAAGAGTTAAATGCTAGATCCATGTTTACAACCAAACACAACAAATTACCTGATTTTCAATAAAAACAATTCTAATGTGGCAAAATTCACATTTTTGGAACAGCCAAACAACCAAATTACTGAATTCAAACACAATTAATTAACCAAAAAAATAATTCATAAACCACATTTCAATGATTGAATCAAAATAAATTGAGATTTAATACCCATAAGAGAGGCTTCAAGGAGGTTTCTGGCCATGAGAATCTGATCCGTTGGGTTGAGATCGCCATCGTCGATCCAACGCTTCTGGATCTTCATGATACTATACACATACGACATCATCACCACGAACACCGTCCCAGCGACGGTCTTGACGACGATTGGAGCGCGACCGCGTTTCACACGATCCAAACCCATGATCACAAGCTTCCTCAGAGGGGTCTTGAATACGAAGATCACGATCAGAGCCATCTCGGAGAATACGAGAGTGAAGAGAAGGTGAATCATTTTCGAAGAGTGGACAGAATTCAAATCAGTGGGGTTCGATTGGAGATTTCAAGGGCTGTGATGAGAGGTGTATGAGTTATTATCGTGAATCGAGGTGTATGGAATCGGAGAGGAGAGCAGAGATCAGCAAGTAGAAGAAGAGAGACGGGTTTCCATTCTTCTTTCCTCTGTGACTTCGCCTCTCCATACTTCAAAAAGAGCGAATTTTTGTAAATTTTATATAGCGTCCTCCAACTTTATTCTATTTATTTATGCTCGGTTTGAAAATTTGACAAGAAATTTAAAAGAAGAATGAAAAAGTTTAGGCGAAAGAAAAAAGAATGATAAAGTTAGGTGAAATGTGAATAATATATATATATATATTTTAAATTACTCTTTAAATCCTTCAATTAGAAAAATTCTAATGCATACTCCTTTAAAAAGAATATATATGTTATATGCATCTCAAGTTATGATATTTTCTTCTTCGTTATGAATAATTTTTTTATTTAGTTATGATATTATTTTAATTATAACTCATAAATTCTTTAATTATGTTTCATGTTATATTTAATTATGATATATATTTTTTATTTTTTTATTTTATAATTATGACTTAAAAAATTAAAATTATTATATTTTTTATTTTAGTTATAAGGAGCATACAAGGTGTATAGTATCAAAATGTTCTTCATTTATTTATATACCACCCATACTTTTGCTAATTGCACTTCAAAACTTTTTTATTTTAATTTTAAAAGATTGAAATCATAGAAAAAGTTTCTATAATTATTGAAATTACAAAAATATCCTTATAATTATCAGAAATTTTAAGGAAGGTAATATAATTTACCCTTAAAAGATTATTTTTACAAATTTTATATTTATAAAGTATATTTAGATTATGTGAAATTAAAAAAAATTAAAATATTAAAAAAATGGGAAAATTATTTATAAGTCCTAGTAGGGAGACTTATGCTACATATGGTCCGACTAAAAAATTTATGTTCCCATAAGTTCTGTGAGAAGTTTGTTGACACATTTACCCTCAATATTAGTTGCTAATATTATAAATAATAGTAAAACCATATATAGGAAATTGAATGTTACCATAGATCATATCTATATAGACGTAACGTAACGTGATACCTACATAAACGTAACGTGACACCTATGATCTATGGTAACATGCAATTTCTTCATATCTACATAAACGTAACGTAACGTGACGTGACACCTACATAAACGTAACGTGACACCTATGATCTATGACAACATTTAATTTCCTATATAGGAAATTGAATGCTACCATAGATCATATCTACATAAACGTAATGTAATGTGACACCTATATAAACGTAACGTGACACCTATGATCTATAGGAAATTGAATGTTACCATAAATCATATTTATATGAAACGTAATGTGACACCAACATAAACCAGCAACATTTTCACATTTAATTTAAAAAAATAAAAATTCATTAAGTTTGCGAAACGTAACGTGACATGTTATGTTACGTTTATGTAGGTGTCACGTTACGTTATGTAGGTGTCACGTTATGTTACGTTTATGTAGGTGTCACGTTACGTTACGTTTTTGTAAGTGTCACGTCACGTTACGTTTATGTAGGATCTTGTGGAATACATTCCTATCTAAATAGGACTTGAGATTCTATAAGAAATTACACAGGGTTTAAGCTACCATAAGTGTTTGAAAAAGAATTTATAAATAAGTCTCCTTAAAAAAATTACTAATAATTAAAAAATACTAATTAAAAATTCAAAAACTGTTTTTGAAATATTCAAAACGAAACAGATACATGGCATGCACTTAAATCTTTTACATTCGTTTATATTCAACCAGTAATCATAGATTTTCTTAAAAATAGGCACTTATTAAATCTTTCATATTAAAGTTTAATATTTGTGCATCCATAACTAGATATATAAGAAAGCATGTCAGTTTTCAGGTTTCATTCGTTTGGTTAACGGGCGTTAGTTGTGGTAGTTAATTGCGATCATACCTTCATTTTTGTATTTTTTTGTTTATAATAATTCAACCTTTCTTTTGAATTACTCCCTCCCTCCAATTTTGTTAGCCTATTTTATTTTTATTTTATTTTTTTAATTTTTGTCTCAAAATGTTTGTGTCAAACTTTAAATTTAGAAAATTTTAAAAATAATCTTGTAAAGCGATTATAAATATATTTAAAAATGAGAATAGAATGGTATTTTTGAAATTAATCCTTTAAAATTTGAATTCAAAATGTAATGATTATATTTCTTTAAAAAGTTTAAATTTTTTAAAAGGAACTATCAATTTAAGATGGATGGAGTTTAATAATAACTTCTTACTTTCGTAAAAACATCTCCAAAGTATTCTCAATCAAAACCTATAAAATACGTATATGGATACAGATATTGATATAGTATAGATACATTGATACGATAAATTTTTTTAAAAAAAGAGAGTAAAATATGAGTCTGACTGGACATGTTAGTAAAAAATATTTATTTTTAATATAAAATAATGCAAAAATTTATTAAATAATTTAGTTGCTTAAGATCCAACTTATAATTCATGTTAAAAGTAAAATTTAAATCGAAATTAAATATCATTAAAATAAATAAATTATAAATCAGAACTTAGTTTTACGAACCTGCTAAGCATAAAAAATAAAAAATAAAAAATCAATGGAACTTCCTTTATATCTCCATGGAACAAAATAATATTTCGTCTGAGTAATGAGTTAGACATACACTAGACACGTTTAGAGTATGGAAGAAATTAAAAAAAATTTAAATATATATTTCGCGTATACAATATATATATAAAAATATCATATAAAATACTAATACCTAATATGAATGTAGCATATTTATCGAAGTAGTCATGTTTCATGGACCAAAACTCTCGACAAATTGCACCCCTCTCTCTCTCTCTCTCTATATATATATATATATTAAAAGGGTAATCCTATTGTTTACGTTATAATCTCATCACATGAGCATGGTGGGTGGGAAATCAGAAACATCATCATGGTTTATCCCCTATTCTTTATATGCTACACCGCAATGAATATGTTTGGTGATCTAATGATTAATGTCATTGGTGATTTTTTTATTTTTTTTCAAATATAAACTAATAGTGATAATAAGAGGAGGTACTTAGATCAACCACAAATAGATTTTCAATTAATTGAAATGGTAATGCACATGAAGGGTAGCTTTGTACTTGTCTTATTTATGGGATTATTCTATTGTTTATTTTGATTTGTTAACCCTTCTTTAGTTGGGAGGGGGAAAAGAATTAGAATTATAGTGGTGCTACACGTGCTAATTGATATATTGATTAATGTATCAACATATGGTATAATATTGTTACTTCAAAACAATGGATCTCACACATTATAGAAACTATAAGATTCAAATTTTCTAAAATTATGTTACATCATTCGTTTGTATACTAAATTGGTATGTATAGCTTTATTCTTAGAATTGAGCAGTTTAAATTTGAGAGGATTTGAGAGGCTTGTGGCTCTCACCATGGATCTTGTTTTTATGATTTAAACTGTTCATTTTGTAAGGTCCGAGTATATCATCTATGGAAAAAAATTAGATCGATCCGATTATCATAATCATTCATTTTATTGAGTTTGCTTTCAAAAAACTAAATGACAAATATATATTTAAAAATAAATTATCAACATAATTTTTAGATAAACATGATAAAATAAAAAAATAAATTATAACTGTTGAATTGATTCTAGTTTTTTTTATATATACATATACATTAAATGGTTTACAAAATGAATTATTCAAAAAAAAAAAAAAAAAAAACCAACAAAAAAATAACTAGCAAACGAGATGAAAAGCCAAATGTTGAACACTCATCACTGATAATAAACATATATCCTTTTCTATGTAGGAGATTTGCATTTAATGAATATTTCTATCCAGATTTTCATTAAAAGTCCAGATTTTCATTAAAAGTTTGAGCAAAGTCGTTACTGGTGAGTTATTCCTGAGTGAGGACACTAACAAGCACTGACGTTTTAAAATTGATATCGTGTTGATATGGTGGAGACATGAACCCAACATGAATATATACTACATACTATGTTAATTTTTTGTAGGATATGTTGGGAGATATTTATTAACTAACTGTCTTGTGTTTAAATATGCCTTAAAATATTTTTTTAAGTTTCTTTTTTAATATAATTTTAAAAAGTTAATTGAAAGTCAAATAGAACATATAAAAGAAAGTAAAAAAATCACTAAATGTGAAAAATATATATATATATATATATATATATATATATATATATTTGTGTATTTAGTGCAAAGAAATTAATTTTCTTCAGAAATATTTATTTTGAAGTACATTTAGATTAAATACATTTAAAAAGTAAAAAAAAATAAAAAAGAAAAAAAGAGAAAAATAAAAAGCTCAAAAATAACTTTCAAAACTAAACCGGCTTGGTGTTCACTCCGTTTGGTGTCGGTATCTGTGTCGGTGTGCTTTAGTGCAAAGAAATTAATTTTGTTTCAGAAATATTTATTTTTGAAGTACATTTAGATTAAATACATCTAAAAAGTTAAAAAAAAGAAAAAAGAAAAAAAGAGAAAAATAAAAAGCTCAAAAATAACTTTCAAAACTAACCGGCTTGGTGTTCATACTCTGTTTGGTGTCGGTATCTGTGTCGGTGTGCTTTATAGTGGGGACATTTAACTTGGAAAACAATTAATGAACAGTAAATATATGAATTAAGAAAAATTGTCTCAGAATTTTGAATTAATGGTATAAATTTAATCTTTCTTTTTGTAAGCTTACTTTATGTATAAGTCTTAACCTTAAATTTTATATTTCCAATAAATTTTGAAGATTTTTTTTTTTTTAGTTTTGTTTTGTAGATCACGTAGGCCTGTTTATTTTCAGAGGTAGAATGGAGGAGATTTATAGTGAGCGGATTAATAGTAAAGGAATTCTTGGTGAGGGGATTAAATAAAATTGTGTTTATTTTGATGATAATTTTTGGTGTAGGGATTGTTAAATTATTTTTATACAAAATAAATATAAAATAATAAAACAAATAAAAAATACAAAAATATTAAACATTAATGTTCAAAAAAAATACCCAACATGTAAAAAATAAAATAAAAAAAATTTCAAAAAAAATAAAACAAATAAAATAATGATTTTTACTTTAAAAAAATACAAAAAAAATTAA